TTATAAAATAAATTAGCTGCAATTTAAAGCAAATTTCTTTTCTTAAACTTTCAAATCCGTAAATTCTAAATTTAACAATTTTTCATATTAACTTATTAATTATTTCTTTTATAAACTTATTCATTTATTTATTTATTGAAATATTATATTATTAAATAGACTTTTTTAAGCTCATCAAATCTAGCTATACAAAAAAAACTCAAAAAAAGGTTTAAGATATGTGATATCAGATATTATTATTTGAATTTATTTTATAAATTTATTGTATATTTTTGTTTATTCTTTTTATCATAAATAGTTTGCTTTAAATTGCTCAATCATAAAATCATATTTATATTTATTTTTATGAATAATATACTAATTTCTTAATCTAATTTTAATTAAAGTATATTCTAATTTATCCATGAAGATATAAATAAATATACTGTAATATATCTTTTATTTCTACTCAAATATATTAACACCAAAAATTTAAAAATAATTTTAAATTAAAATTATGCATTTTTAATACTAATTTAACAAGCATATTTATTTAAAACAATTACAATAATTAAAATAAATATAAAACTTTTAATTTATTTATTTATTCATTTATTTTTATATTAGTTTTTTTTAGAAAGGATTTCTTCCAATCTTTTTAAAAAAGGATCAAAAGTAGAAGCGAATTCTATGTATGCATTCGAACAGCCTGTTTTAAAATTTTTTAAAGTTATGTATGCATAAAGATCTGCGATAGTTAAACTTTCAAAGAACTAAGGCTTGTTTCCTAATGCTTTTTGCAATTATTAAATTTTAGGAATAACTTAAGAATTTAGCATGTTCTTTCCATCTTCATTTTATTTTGATGCTTGATAAATTTTTGAAAATAAATCATCACATACAAATCTAATATTATCTACTCTGTATTTTTCTTTTCCTTCCCCATACAGGTACTATTAATTTGTTAATTCAATCAAATAATTCACAATATTTTAAGACTCGGATATTGAAAAGTCTCCATGAATCAGGTAAGGAAGATTTGGGAAATCTAATCCAAGCTCTGATTTTTTTTTTTCCCATTCAGTAGATGAAGAAGTGTACTTATGTTCAGCGTAAGGATAACCTACAAGATCTAAGATATATCTAACAGTTTAACCTCTTGAGGCATTCTCCAAATAGCCTATGATTAACTCTTTAGATTCATTGGTTTGTTTTTTTCCAATTTAGTTAGTTGTATTCGAAGAGTCCATTTTGTAATATTTTTTAATTTGCTTAGCTCAATTTATTGATTAAATGCTTTACTTTAAAAAATTAGATCACCAGAATTATTTAAATGCATAAAATTTTGGATAAAAATTCAAAAAAAAGTAATTTTAATCAGATTTCTTATTCCAAAATTGTTCTATATTTTTTCTCTGATTTTTCTTAATTAATTAAAATAGAAAAATAAATCAATCTTTTATTCAACAGCTTTAAATCAATTAGCAAATTTTACTTTTTGACTTTTACATTTTTTTACAAATTTAATAATTCAGTTTTTCTATTAAATGTACTAAAATATTTTTATAACATACTTAAAAGCTTAAAAGATTATATTTTATTGAGAGTTATTTCTAGTTAATTTCTCAATTAATTTTAAAAAAAATATTTATTTGAATTATAAAATTTCTTTAAAGTTATTTTGTTTAAACTTTTACCTTATTGTTAAATGAATCTTATGTTTATTAAACAAGAAACATTTCTGCTAAATTCTTACTTATAAATCTTTTATTCATTAACCGAACTCATATTTTTTTTATTTTGTTCTTTAGTTATTCCTTAATTTTGTAAAGATAAATCAAATAACTTTATTTAACAGTATTAAACACTATTTCAAATTGTTTACTTTTTAATTTTTACATTTATTTATACAATTTTATAGTTTTAAGAAAATCTTTACAAACAACAGATTAATGAAATATTTTTTTTATAAATACAACTAAAATTTATTTTTGATATAAAATTTAAATATTTTAAAGTTAATTTATGCAAATTTACAAAGGAAATTAATAAAACATTATAAAGAAGACATAAATATATAGGTTGATATGAATATTATTTATGTAGGAAAAAAATTACTTTACAAAGGTATTCTAGTTTAAAAAGCCTAAACTTTTTAATTTAGAAAGATTTCTGTCAAATTCTAACAAATTAGATTAATCATTTAAATTAAAAATATAAAATAAGCCAATAAAGATCTTATGAAATAGCGAACGCTAAAAACAACATAAACATTTTTAATAAATTAAAATCAAATTTAATAATAAAAATCACTAAAATAAATACTTAAATGTCTTCACAAACTATAAATTTAGGATACTGGGGTTTTCCATTAAGAGCATAGCCTATAAGATATATTTTTGAACTAGCTCAATATCCATATTAACAGACTAACTATACTTTTGAAGGAGCTAAAGACTGGTTTGAAAAAGATAAAAAAGAACTTGGTCTAGATTTTCCTAACTTGCCTTACCTCATACACGGCGATTTTAAGATAACTGAATCTTAAAACATTATCAGTTATGCTTTAGATATCACTAAGTAGCATCATTTATTGGGATTTGGACTAATAAGATTTAAGATAGATAATATCAGATTCCTCTGTGATGAATTGATTGCCAAAACATTCTTAGCATCAACGAAAACAGGAGAAGAAAAGAAGGCAGAAATCAACAATTCTGTAATTCCTAAATTTAAGAGTTTATAAGCTGTTTTAGGAAATAAAAAATTTTTCTTTGAAGACAAGTTAACCTTAGCAGATATTTATGCTTACACAGCTATAAATGCATTTTAACATTTGTTGAATGATGAATACAAGTAATTTGCTTAAGCTTTTGGTCCATTTATGAAAAACTTTGAAGAAGTTCCTTTGATTAAGGCTTACCATAGCTCAAACAGATATCCTAAATTTACATGATTATTTAAATAATTAAATAAAAAAATTATTTTGTTGTTTCTAGATTGTTTGCTTTATTGGTTATTTAATGTTTTTTTATGTGAATTTATTTGTCGCATTTGTAATTAATTTTAGCTTTTTAAATACCATAAATCATTCATCATTTTACTTAAAAATGTGTTAATAAATTAATTTAATATGAGCTCTTAATTATGAATTTGAGAGAATTAGTGAAATTTTGAAAATATAAAAAATGTATTTTTATAAAATAATTTTTGCAACTAATTTTTTCTAATGTTTTCAGGATTTTTAAAAAATATTGATATTTTCTATTATTAAGTTGTCAATTAAAATAATAAAAAATAAATTAATTTTTATTAATAATTGAGATTAATAAAAATTAAAAATATTAATATTATTAAAAATATTGAAATTAATAAATCTTATATTTTTAAAATTAATATTTATTTTTGTTTACTTTTAACAAGAATATTACTTGGAAGATAAGAGTTTGTTTATATTATTAATATAATGAGGATTTATCTTATGAGAGAAGCAATAAAAAAGAAATAAATATAAGTGGAGTAGATAAATTGCATTTAATATTTAATTTGGTAGATTACTTATTTAATCATCAACTCTTTCACTTAAATTAATTTAATAATTAGAATTTAAAGTTATATTTTATGTAAGATTTATTAAAAGATAATTATTAACTTCAAGAATTTATTTTTTACTTTTGTATTAAATTAATAAACAAATATATTTTATTATGATTATATTTTTTGAAAAATAATAAATCACATTAATTATAATTTGAAGATGCAGAAATTAGTTTTTATTATTTTATTTTATATTGTTTGTTTATTTAAAAATTGTATTTTTTATTGAATCTTTTATTTAATTTGTAAGTAATATTTTATTTTTCAAAATTTTTTTTTTATCTTTATTGTTTTAAAATACTTCATAATAATAATCTAAAATATTTTTTTCTTATCTAGCAATTTATAATCAAAAGTAGATTTAAATTTTTAATATTGTTTAAAATTCTTGAATTATTAAATGATTGGGCTTGTAAAAAATGTGTGGGATTTAAGTATATAATTTCATCTATCAAATTATGTTCATTCATAACAGTAAAATATAAAAAGATATTATTTTTTTGAATTAAGTTATATAAAATTCTTAATAAAATAAAATAAATAATTAATATTATCAAACAAAAATTTAAATATAATTAAAAAATAAGAAAATCTTTATTCGAATTAATGAAAAATCTTTGTGCTAAATTTACGTTTAAGAATATACTAAATATTAATTTTATTTTTATATCTAATACTATCTCATTAAACATAAAAATATATCCACAAATTATATATTTTTTATTTTATAAATATAGTTTTTTATAATATAAAGTGCTTATTTTTCATTATTAATTTAAACTTTGCAATCCATTGCATCTTATATTGTTTGGATAAGCAAGTTCATCAATGAAATAAAAGTTATCAAGAGGTTCATCTTATTCTACTGCTTCAATAAAGGATTTTAAAGCCAAAGAAGGTGTGATTTAGCTATCTTCAGGTACTTAATAAACTTAGTTATTGTAGGAAAGCCTTTAAGAAAAGACATGAAGAACACAAGAAACAGCCCACATACCCCAATCTTTTTTAACAGACCTGATTTAAGAGATAGTATCATACAATTTTTGTCTCATGTTTTCGATTTTTGCTAATTCTTAATCAGTGCAGCCAACTAGAGCATTCTTTGAATTAATACAATTAATTTGAAGATAAGTGTTGATAAAGAATTAATCATATAAAGAGCTTATAAAGAATACAGGAAGATTAATTTAATTAATAATGTATTCTGTTAAGAAACATTTGTAAAGGTTTTAGTCATCATGTAGATAAGGGCATCCTTATGGTTGAATAATTTCTCTTTTTCTGTCAGTAATAAAGTCTACCCAGACTGGATTCTTATCTTGCAAAACTGGGTTCAACTAAACATTAAATCCGCAATCTGGGGATGCAACCATTTTAGTTGTAGATGGAAGATAATTTCTTAAATATTAAGACCAAAAGTATGAACCCTATCCACCAGCGCTACCTCCAGCTAAAACTACAATTGAAGAGTTCTTCATTCCATACTTTTGAGAAATATCATCAATGATTTCCTTAAAGTTGTCGCTGCCTCTAAAGTTTAATGTCATGTTTTTGTAAACCACAGGATCTCTACTACTTTAATAGTATGTTCCATCACAATATTTAATGAAAACTCTATTCCAATTGTAGAAAAGAGGATTATTTTTTTGTAAAGGACTAAATATACCATTATCAGAATATGTTTGACCCCATTTGCTGCTTGATCCGAGATCAGTAAAGGCACGATTGTAGCAGTTTTCAAGAATTTCCTATTCAGTCTACCCATTGCAGTAAAATCCACCCTCCATATATAAAAGAAATTTGTTTTATCCTTCACCATAACCTTATGAAAAATAGTAGCCAGGTGCAGAGCCATCTAGGCATTTAGCCTTTTAAGGATCTTAAAGTAAGACTAATTTGTTTTAATTTTGAGCACAACAAGTACAAATAAAAGCTAAAGCTAGAATGATGCAAACAATTAAATTACTTCTCATAGTATTTAAATAATTATTTGTATTAAATCTTTTGTTTAATTAATAAAAATGCGATATAATATATGTAATTATTAGCCATATAAAAACTAATTAAATTAGTTAATTTACTTTTTTTCATAGAATAGAAATCTTATTTCATTTTATTTGACGTAATTCTTATAAACTATCATGTATCTTTAATAGAAAAATATGACTTAATATTTACCACTCTTTTCAAATTTTTTATTTATTTCAGATTTTAAGGAGATAAAATAAAAATCTTATTTTTAAATTAATTTTATCCTAATTCTTCTTCTCTTTCATTAAAAATTTTGTTTTTTTAATAAAATATAATATAAAATTTAGAATTATCAACTATATAAAAACAGAGAAAATAATTAATTTATTTTCAATTTCATAGAAACAAAATCTTTTCAATATTTGACAAAGTTTTAAAAGTAAATTAATTATTTTTATTAGTAAAACAAGACTTAATATTTGCTATTTCCTACATTTTTCTTATGTAAATTAAGATTTAAAAAAGGTAATAAAAGTCTTATTTTTTTATATTAATTTTGTCTTTATTATCTTCTCTTTCTACTGCTTTAAAAAAACAAGATTTGTTTCAATCTTTATTGTCTGAAATATAATTTAATCAAATCATAAAAATTACTAAATGGTAAATAAAAATAATACTTCTATTTTAAAGCATTTGAAATATCATAAAATTTCATTGCAAAAAATACCAATATTTGATTTAAAAGATTTAGAAATAATTATTTAAAAATGCTATTAAATTACACATTATTAAAAAATTTTATCAAATATTTAATTTTATAATATAAAATAACATGCCTCAAATAAAAGTTAATTGACAATATTTTAAAAGATATAAATTAGAAATTTAAATTTTAATCTCCCCTCTCTATTTGAAATATTTCAAAATTTTAAGGTTTGAAGATCTAGGTAACATGGTAAATGTATATTTAATATTTCTCAATAAAATTTTATCAAACAAAAATAAAATTGAATTTATATTGCGTTGTGTTGAATTAGCTCAATATCTAAATGAAAATTTTCAAACTAGAATTAAATTTACATTGAATAGAATTTTATTATGAGCATCTAATAAATAATCTGGCTTAATAAGCTAGCTAAGAGAATAGTCTCTTAAATAAATTTATATCACTGAGTTGGTATTCAATGATTGGTATATTGAAATATTCTTATATACTTTTAATGTATTATAAAATTTAATAAAAGCGAAAATTAATTTAAATCAATGTCTACATCAATTAAAAGCTTATTTATTCTTCTTCTCCTACAAATAAATAAGCAGCTATTCATTCGAAATTGAGAATAATTGATTAATCTTAGGAAAACCTCAATACTTCCTAAATTAATCATTATATTACTAATTTGAATAAATAGATTTAACTTGTTAAAACAAAGATAGATAGTGTATATGAAAATTAATTTACCATATCAAAATTAAATAATTATTATTAAATTTTTTTTATTGTGGCTTTAACTTTGATTAACTTTTATAAATTAAAATAAATTTAATATTTTAGAAACTCAATTTAATATCTATTTTCATAATTTATCAGAAAAAACATTACTGGATTTAGCTATCGAAGAAAAAAAGCTGTTTTCTTATTTTTGAATGTTGCAATATTTCCTGCAAGAGAAATAATTATTTGAAAATAAAAATAAATTTATTTAAAGATAAATAAACTATGTAATATAAATTTGGATATTTATTTATTTCATAAAAATTTTAATAAAAAATAAATATTGAATAAAGATGCGAGGAAGTTTGTAATGCGTTGAATTTGGGTATGATATTAATTTGTTATAACAAATTGTGTCATATATTAAATAAAACATTTATTTTTTAATTAAAATATAATTTTTGAGTTGAGTTTAAATGATTAAAATTCATAGAATTAATTTATTTAATGATGGATTTAGTTAGGGAAAATAATATTTTATTTATAATATTTTACATTAAATTTTTAATTTATATTTTCAAAAATATAATATTTTCAAGTTTTTTGCTAAATAAAGAAGAATTAAGTGGTATTACTTAATCAATAATTTTATCTTTATTTTATTTAAAATGCTTAGAGTAAAAATTATTTTTTTAACTAAATATTTTAAAATTAACTTTTACAAAAACTTTAAACTCAATAAAAAAGACTTATCTGACTTGTAAAAAAAATATTATTCAGAAAGTTCAACTAAACTCAAACTCGAAAAATTAAACTCGTTGCTGAAAATTAGATAATTGTAGAGATAGATTGGGCACTTAAATTTTGATTTAATAGTAATTATTTTACTGTGAACTTATGATATGAAAAAATGCATGATACTTAATATAAATACAGAATTAATAAATAATTAGCTTCTAATAATATTTTTTATTAATTTATTAAATGGCTTTTCAAATTTTATTAATATTTAAAAAACCTTAATAAGTTTATTTTTTAAATATTTTAAATTTATTTTTATAACTATTCTTCATTAAATTTAACTAAACCATGTCTATCTTTCCAAAATATAAATGAATTTGAGGATTGTTACTTTGAAGCATTTATTTTAAACTCTTACTTATATGTAAAAGATATATTTACTATTGATTTCTGAGATTACTTATATCATTCTTCCTTGAAATCAAAATTTATAAGAAAAATCTAATTCAATTTTTTCTTCTAGTTTACCTTAAAATTCAAGCATAAATAATTAACAATAATAATTACCCAATAAATTATTTGAATTTATCAAGTTTTAGGAATAAATAAATATTATAAGTTAAGCAATAAAACTCTTCAAATTCATATTTTCCAGTCTTTAAATTAAAATATTCTTTTCAAATATAAAAAGCTTTTTACTTTAATGAAAAAATAATAAAGTATTTTAGAAATTAAATGATTATAAATTTATTTTAATACTTTATTAATATCATTTTTTTAATTAAATATAGGTTCTTTATTGGTTCTCTCATTATTTAAAATATTATTTCTCCTTATAAACAATATTTAAATTGGCATCAAAATTAATTAAATAGATATATTTTATTGCTAATTAATTTGCCTGAAAATTTAAAACTACAATTAAAAAGATTAAAATTTTCTATATATGTAAGAATTTATCAACGCATTTGCTATTTATCTACTGTTTAATTTTTCAAATGTGTAAATAGTTCTATTGATAATTATTTCAAGTATTTTTATGTAAAAAACTTTATTTTAAATCCTAACCAAATTTTATTTCTAAAATATATAAATAATCAATTAATTAAAAAAAAATATGAAAATACAATAAATATTTCTTCTATATCTATTTTGCACTTGTTGTAGTGTCTATGCTTTAAGCTAATGTAAGTGCACTATAGATTCTTCTCCTTTCCCTGGATCTGTAAGTTCTGTACCTACTGCTCTAGCTCTTTCTCCTGAAGATGAATATTCAGAAATGAAAAATATAGGAAAACTGATTGCAGTTGGCTCAATATAAATTCTTTAACAGACTTTCTAAGTTTAGCAAAAATCAAACATCAATTTATAGCATAACTGCCCTGCAGGCTACACTCCAGTCACTCAAGATGATCTTAAAGCAATAATCGCTAGACCAGATTATAGTACTTTGATAGGATCTGATTATCTAAAACTTGATTTTTCTAACAATACCTACTATTCATAAACTAAGGTATACCCTTCGAGTACAAAAGGCAGTGATAGTAAATCTTTTAAGTACTACACTTTGTCTGTAGACTCGAAAGGTAAGCCTAATATCAATTATGAAAGTACTTACTTTGACACTAAGACAAAATTAACTATTTGCAAAAGAAATTTATAATAATTCCCAGTTTAACTAGCAGGATACGAAGGATATGATCTAGAAAAAGGAAAATCTTACTAGTTCTAAATTATCAATAAAAATGTTTAAGCATACTATGTTTCTGATAGCAATAATAACACTTACACTACTTCAACTTTCACTTATACTCATAATGGGAATTCTTAATGGGGATGTGCTACTATTAACTTTAAGCTTTAGGTTTTTGGAGGAGTAACTGTTGGTGATTGTCTTACTATTTGGACTAAAAACTAAATTGCTTTTAATGCAGACTCTAGCAGTTTTAATATTAATACAATTTAGGGCACAGTATTATCTGGAGTTAAAGCTAACATGACTGAAGATTTGTTCTTTAGCCATGGTTCTGCACCCATAGCACCTATTATAGGAGATTCAAGCTCCTTTTATGTATACTATTCAAATTTAAACTCAAGCTAGCTTATGGTTTAAAAGGTTTCTAGCTAAGGAACACCTCTTGGATCTGCAATAGATACAAAGTAAGTTGGTTACCCATTTGATATTGTTACTACTGATTTTGGTTTTGTTGTTATGGCTGGAGATTCTAATTAAAGGGCATTTATCTAAGCAATCAATAAAGATGGATCCTAAAGATGGCTAAGAATATTAGTGGATAATGGAATAAATGCTGTTAGTCCTCTTGATTAAATTAAATTTTATTAAAGTGATAAATGTGATTTACCTTCAGGTATGACACTCATGTATGATCCTGAAAATGGTAGACTTAATTATGCCAGAGGAAAAATTTAAGCAATATGGGCTCATTATAATCACTTTGGTTATTATAGTAATGGAGAGAGAGATGATCATACTGGAGACACAATGATCAGCTTAGATGCAGATACTGGCTTAGATTAAAATATCTTTTGGGCTTGGGGAGCTTCTCATTCTTTATACTAAAATCTACACTACGATGGAAAGAATCTGTATGTTGCTTCACTTGGAGATGCATATCCCATGAATATTAAATTTAATATTTGTAATATTGATACTTATTAATGTGTGAGTAGTACTAATTTAGTATAAGGGGATATTCCTGGAGATGGTAGTGGTAATTCTGCTGGTAGATAAGGTAGTTTCATTGATATAGTAGGAAATAGAAATCAAAAGCTATTTATATACTCAAGAAAAGATTGTACAGGCGGATACGATGATATATCTTCGGAAAATTCTATCAATGAGCTGGCTGTTATAAAATTTGATTCATAGCTAAAATACATTTCTACAACCACATTGATTAGTGGAGATGATGCTGCTAGAATAAACAACATTAAAACAGTTCCATATGGTAAAAACATTTTACTAGCTTACACCATGATCCCATCTTCTGATGTTTAAAATTTCAATCGCTAAAATATAATACCTACTGAAGAATAGACTTATGTAGCTTTGCTCAGTGGAGTTGATGGTTCTATTTTAGTGCAACCTGCATAATTATAGAATTACTAAATAAGCGCCTCAGATGATTGGAGAGTTCTTGAAAATGGAAGTATCGCTTACACATATGTGGATAGTGATTACAATTTAAATATTTACTTAACTCCTGCTTTAACTACACCAAGTTATCCAAATCTAATTGTTACAACTGATCCTATTTATGGATTTGATAAGTTTACTAATTAGAAAGCTACTGTGCCTTTAAATAACTATAATAATAAATGTGTTACTGATTAGAATAATTTTAATTGGGTTAGCATTAAATCTACTTCAAAAAATATTAATAGCATTGATATTGGTAATCAAAATTAAGATGCAAATATTCATAGCAACGAAACTAGTTCAAAAACAATAAAAAGTTTATGTTTAACTTTATTAATAATTGTTTTATGTGCTTGATATGCTTATTTTAGTAAACTATTTACTATTCTTAATATTTGTAATTTTTTTTAAATTTGCAATTTACACACATTCATTTTGATTTTTTGAAGTTTTTTATTTTTTATTTAAAAATAACTTATTTTTAGCCAATAAATTGTCTTAATATCTCATGAAATAAAATACCTCATGTTACCTTATTATAATAGATGAATTTATAATTATTTTTTCAATTAATTTACAAATACTTGAAAATTAAGTATAGAAATAAATAATATTTCAAATATCTAGTATTTTTTGTAAATGCTATTTTTCTTTTTTCTTTTTCTAGATTCTAAATATTTTTAAACAAATTCGACCAAGTATTTATTATCAAAAAAAAAGAATTTTAATATTAATGAATAATAAAGTAAAAAATAAGTAAATAAGTTTTGAAATAAACTTTAATTAGAGTTGTATAAGAATTATTTATAATTGAATAAATTAGAAAATTTAAATTCAATAAAAACTTTTTAAATAAATTTTTTCAATATGAATTATAAGCATATGACGTCCTATTCCCCAAGTATTTATAATTTTGAACTTAAGGTATTTTTATTTTTTTCTATATAAGTAATATTAGCCATTTAATTATTTTTTGATTTATATGATAAAGCAATAAAATTTTCTATTTTAAAAATTTCATTTATTTATTTTTTTACAAAATTATTATCTGTTAATATAAAAATAAAAAAATGGCAAAATTACCATTTTACAAATAATATTATATCTTAAAACAAATTATAATTTTTATCTATTTTTTAAAATTTATTCACTCGATTTTCATAATCCAATTTAATTTCCACTTTTTAAATAAAGAAAACATAATTAAATATTAAAGATATAAAGAAAGAAACTATTACAAATCCTGGTATTTAAACATGTTGAACTAGCTGGATAGGATTATATTTTGCTGAATTATGTTTAATTTAAATTTAAAATAAAAAAATATTTATGAAAAGGTAGGTAAGTAAATTAATATTCAATAAAATTCATAAACTGAATATTATACAAAAATATATTGTATAAAAACTGTTCAATTAAAATATTCAATTTTTTCATATTTTTGGGGGTTTTCATTAAATATCAAATAGTTTTTTTACAATTTTTGTAAACCATAGGCGTTTTATACGAAAAAAATCATATATATAATTTAATACTTTTTAAATGTTAATCAAATAAATTACATAGAATATCCTTATTATCTTATTATTTATTTGAAAATGAAATTAAGAACTTTTGTATAACCAAAATTGTATAAGAATTAATAATAATAAGATTTTATTAATATTTTTATTAATTTATAGAGTGGCTTTTAATTTTTTATTAATATTCTAAAAATTAATAAATTTATTTTAAAAGTATTTTAAATTTATTTTTTTAATTATTCTTCATTTCATTAAATTTAGCAAAATCAGGTTTGTCTTACCAGAAAATTAATGAAATTGAGGATTGCTACTTTCCAACATTTATTTTATTTAAACTTTGACTTTAATATAAAAGATATGTTTACTATTGAATTCTGAGATTACTTATAGATAAAAAAGTCAATTAATTATTTTGCTTGAAATCAAAATTTATAAGAAAAATACAATTAAATTTTTAGTTGCCTTAAAATTTTAACATAAATAATTAATTACCTATAGTATATGATGAATAAATAAATATAATGGTCCAATAAAGCTAGAATTTATCAAGTTTTAACATATAAATAAATATAATGGTCCAATAGAACAATAATTAATCAAGTTTTAAGAATAAATAATTATAATGGCCCAATAAAATTAGTATTTATCAAGTTTTGAGAATAAATAAACTTTATAACTTAAGCAACAAAACTCTTCAAATTATTATAAATTTATTCTACAAGTTAAAATTTTATTTCAAATATAAGCAGTTCTTTCTATTAATGAGAAAATAATAAATTATGTTTGAAATTAAAAAATTTTTAATATATTTTAATACTAATAGTAAATTATTTTCTTCATTAAACGTAGGTACTTTTTTGGCACTCTCTAGTTTTAAAATATTATTACTCCTTACATTCAATATTTTTTCTTTTTTAATTTAGCATTAAATTAATTAAATCAATATCTTTTATTTCTAATTAATTTACCTGAAAATTTAAAACTATAACAAAAGTTATCACTCATTACCAAGTTTAAAATTCTATATAAGCATTAGAATTTATCAACCCATTTATTATTTACTGTTTATTTTTCAAATTTATAAACATTAATAATGATACTTCTAGTACTTTTGTACTTTGATGTAAAAAACTTTATTTTAAATTCAAACCAAATTTTATTTTCTAAAATATATAATCAATTAATTAAAAAGAAAAGTAAAAAATATGAAAATTCAATAAATATTTCTTCTATTTCTAATTTGCACTTGTTATAGTGTCTATGCTTTAAGCTAATGCAAGTGCACTGTAGATTCTTCTCCTTTCCCTGGATCTGTAAGTTCTGTACCCACTTCTCTAGCTCTTTCTCCTGAAGATGAATATTCAGAAACAACAAATATAGGAAAACTTATTGCAGTTGGTTAAATATAACTTCTTTAACAGACATTCTCAGTTTAGTAAAAATCAAACGTCATCTTTTTACATAACTGCCCTGCAGGATACACTCCAGTCACTCAAGATGATCTTAAAGCAATAATCGCTAGACCAGATTATAGTACTTTGATAGGATCAGATTATCTAAAACTCGATTTCTCTAGCAATACTTACTATTCCCAAACTAAGGTATACCCTTCGAGTACAAAAGGCAGTGATAGCAAATCTTTTAAGTACTACACTTTGTCTGTAGACTCGAATGGTAAGCCTAATATCAATTATGAAAGTACTTACTTTGACACTAAGACAAAATTAACTATTTGCAAAAGAAATTTATAATAATTCCCAGTTTAACTAGCCGGATACGAAGGATATGATCTAGAAAAAGGAAAATCTTACTAGTTCTAAATTATCAATAAGAATGTTTAAGCATATTTATGTTCTGATAGCAATAATAACACATACACTACTTTCACTTTCACTTATACTCATAATG